TGTCCCCCCAGATGACAATATTCAAATTCAGACATAGTCTCATAATGCAACTTTTGCATAAAACCACTGCTTCATCTTCATATCTACACACAAACCCTCAAAATATCACCTCTGGCTCCCGCCCTGCCATAAAACACAAACATGATAATGGAAGAAGTGTGCCCATGAGCCCATATTTGTAGTCATAGATTGTCCTATAAAAGGCGCACATTTCATCTCTATCCGACTTTACCCTACCTCACCTTCATCACACTCTTATCCACGCTCAAAGCTTCAAAATACCATTTTTCACTCACACTTTGCCATACACCACGCACACGGACATAGAAGGCTTCTCCCAGTTGACTCAGAATTTCAGTCTTTATTTCTCCTTCAAAAGGCGCACATTTATTCTCTATTCAACTTTACACTAGCTCCCCTCCTTCACCTTTATATATACATATATATGTTCAAAATACCATCTTTGGCTCCTGCTTAGCCATAAAACACGCACAACAACATGGAAGGCTTGTACCAATTAACTCACATATCCAGTCATTTATCTACCTTTGAAAGGTGAACATTGGCTTCTTCTGCCTCAGAATACATATCTAGATTGAGAGGTGAGTTATTTGTATCAAATGTGGCATGATTGCCTGCTTGAAGGGTTTTCTCCCGCTTCACAGTCAGTACAAACTGAATATAGAAGAGGCTACCTCAGTCTATAAGATTGTAAAGTTGATCCTCCTTAGCACTGACTTAATTTGAGGTTATATCCTTGCACAGGAAATGTGAAGACATGGATGCAAAAACCAGGACATACTAAGCGTGGATACAGAAACATGGATATTGAATGCAAGTGATAGTCAATCGTGTTCAACATATAACATATGAGTAATGAAAAAATAACAGTGTGGCATCCAAGGAGCGATATAGTACTCAAAGGGAGATATGGTCCTCAAAGGAACCATATGGTCCTCAAAGGAGTGTGATTGTCATTGCACTCAAAAAGCCGGTCCGCCGGAGTTATGTGTAATGCTGTGTAGCTGTATCCTATTTGACTATCTCCGGTCTTGGATTATAAGTGCTCCAGTTCACGCATCTGATCCAAATCAATATCCCCACCGAACCCCATCTCATATTACCATGCCTCCAGGTACTTGCCGGAGCACACGTTCCACCGATGCCGTTACCAATGCCGATTCATCATTACCAGAACCCAAGCGCTCACGTAATCAGGAGACTCGTACAACATCTCGTCGTGGTCTTGGTTCTGCAGCATCCGCCAACACAGACGCGAATCATCTACCCACGCCCTCTGCTACTCAGCAACAACAGCCCCAACCGATTCACACTGAACCAGTGCAAGATATCCAAGATCTTGATCTCAATGACATTACTTTGAAGAACTATCATCAAGTCAAAAGATTCTGGCCTCTCGGACGCATCACAGACCAGCTTCAGCGTCAGAAATCATCTAACCACCAGTTGAGCGCAGAGGTGCTTGTTGAAGCAAAGGCGGTTCTTGAAAGTCTTGAAATTTCCCTTCACATGATTGCGATGGTTTCTCATGTTGATATTACTACGTTGAAACGTGCCTTGTCAGTTTATCTTTCTGTATTCAATCATCAACGTTGATCACTATGCTAACAAGATATTCTTTGCAGGGGCCTTATCGGTGGTACAACACATGCCGATAATCCGTGGCATAGGTGGTTAAGTTTTGCACTTGATGCCAACAAGTTTCCTAGTATGTATGTTTACTTATACTTGTCTGACTAGATCGCTAATCATCTTATGTTTATGTTATAGTGCCTACCCAAGGCCACCCAGATTCAGCAGCCATTCTGGCAAATCGCAATAAAGCCAACCACGTTGCCTATAACGCGCTCACGGTCGACCAACTTACTGTGTTCAAATCACCAGTTTTCTTTGCTCTTGGTGGCTATCCCGACTATTCAGCCATTTCTTTCTCTGACAACGCCTCTGGAGATACTTCAGTTCTTATTCCCGAAGTCCCCAAATTGAGCGAAGAGGACGAACTTCGATACCGGCCCATCTACGATAAACTAGTCAATACAAAGAAAGTGGCCAAGGATCGCGAGCTGAATACACCTGCAGCCTGTGCTAGTAAGGAGGAAAAACGTTCCCTTTTGAGTTTCAAAAAAATTGCGCAACAGGTGAGGTTTTCTTCAAGTCAAGCCTTTCTTCAGTTTGTTTCACAAAAGCAATATCTGACACATTTGATTACAGCTTGAACGTGATCATCAAATGCTAGGAATAGATTACTACGTCATTGCATGTAGTAATAACACTGGAGGGGAAGGATGGTGTCGAGAACATAGTAGTCGGGAAGAGATCGTTCAGTGGGTTTCTGACAGGGCACAACTGCAGCATGTGTTTCCTATTTATTGTCAACACGGATCAATCGTCGAAAAAGTTCAAGCCGTTGCTAGTGCAAAGAATGGAACTTTACCCGAGAAGCGGCCATCAAACAATCAATCAGACATCGACAAGAGGAACTTGGGTGGGCAGCTCAATGAGCTCGTACGTAAGTTAAATTTAACTTTGTATTTTCATTTCTACTTGTAATCTTACAAATAGTCCCACACGTAGTCAATCTTGTTGGAAAGGACGATTATAAGCCGTTCCCTCGCACACCGAATCCGATTGCTTCTCTCCAAGAACGTAAACTCAAGGTTGAACGCGCTACCAACTCCGCACTGTCTAAAGATGATTTTGACAAAGGATTCACAGGCATGAATGCCAAGGCTCGCCGTAGTTGGCTCAGCGATCTGAAGGATGGTAAATTTAAACTCATGAAGGATGTTGAAGTTCAACCAAGCAAAGGCGAACATCATATCACCGAAAGCCAATCTCAACCAAGTGAACCACCTCATACCACAGAAAATCAGTCAACTGCTTCCGAACTTCAAAATTCCCAGCCTTGTGCATCAAATTCCCAAATCCCTCAAATTCCTCAAGTCATTGAACAATCAGGCCAGCCAAGCGAATCCCAAACGGCTGAGCTGGGAGCTGAAGCCACTGCATCTGCGACTCATGAAGGTACTGGAGGTGAAGGAGGTGCTACGTGTGATCTCGCTTGACTTGTATAATGGCCATGATCACTTTCAAATCTTCCCACTTATTTCTGTTTTCTGTTTTTTTATCTTTCTTATTCTCGTCCAAAGTGTTCCTTGATTTGGTTTTCAAAAGTGTTGCTTTGAATGCTGAACTACACTTTGACCCAGTTGCTTGTTTTCAAACTTGAATGTCTACATAGTAAATATACTACGTTTCGATCTTAAACCCACAAGAATTGTTGTATTGACTCCCCGTTCTAAGGTGTACCTGAACGGTCCACTCTCACGTGTGATTCCTTTGAAATTTGTTATGGATCCGGTCTTGGAGATATCCACCGCAATTATTTGTCACCATCTTGAAACCGTTCCTTTGAAAACAGATGTTCCTGGCGGTCAAAATATTGATCATAGTATGTACATATGTATCAAATCTACAAAATACTTGAATGGAGTTGCCGAAGCCAAGGCTGTGCAAGACATTAATTGGGCATGAGTGCACTATTGGGATCTATTTAAATCAAAATCTATTGTATGTATTTGACGTTCTACTACCTTCTACTACCATAGATTGCGCCTGAGAAACATGCATAACCTGTATGTAGTTGAACTTCAAATACAATTATGTTGAAGTCATTGCCCCGGTCGATCCCCGTCCCCGAAACCGGGGTTGGGGATCATTCCCCGAATTAGGGGTCGGGGAATGATCCCCGCCCCCGAAATCGGGGATCGGGGATCAATCGGGGAATTTTGGGGAATAGAGCATTTTCCCAGAACAAAAAACAAACGATCGTCCATTACCCAACAAGATACCTTCACCAATATCATCTAACCTCAAACAAGATCAAGTGGAAAGGATCATTAGATCCTCACATTCTTCAAAAACCAATCAAAAAAAATATTCAAAATGGAAGCATGTCAAAAAAGTTAGGTTGTAAATTAGTAATCCAATCTCTATCATGATTGATTCATCGAATCATCATTTTTGAACGTTTTGAGCTAATTCTTTTGGATTTCATCATCCGTTCACTTTTAGATTCCTTTACCCAGATATTTAAATTCATCCGACTGTATTCACTTCAAAAATCATCATACTGACTCAAAAGACAAAATTCATCGAGTAGTGATTCAACCTT